TGGATACTTAAGAAATATTAGTTGTAAAATAGTAAAACACAGAGACATGATAAAAAACAATTTAATGGCAAGCAAAAATTAAACACAAAAAATAAATATAAAGCCCTAACATATGTAAGATAATGTAAAAAAGCATTGCAAGAACCTAAGTGGAATTAAAATAAAAAACTAATGAGAATGTAAACACTGATAAAAGTACCAGACAGCCGGAAATTAAAAAACTTAATAAATTCAGATAGATAATCGCATAGGCGTTTGCAATAAATTGTTTTTGACCAAGAATGAGATCGAAAAAATATTAAAATAAGTAGCCAAAGTTTGCGAAAGATTCCACTTGTAGTGGATGACACGTTAATATGGCGGTCTGATACTCTAAGCCTAAATCAATGGAACATCTGATTTTAAACACTCAAAAATGGAAAAATTGGCCACCCGGAGGCCGGAAAAGACTCACCAGGAATGCCTTGTGGGTTTACATGTTGAATTTAATTAACTTCGGGGTGAAATAATGGATATTTATTTCTTTTAGAAGATGTTTTTGAGGACTCCATAGAAGTTGTTGTTTCGTTGGTGGAGATCTAGATCAGCTTTTCTCTATGGTATACTGCCATACAAATCTTTAAGGTTACCATTGGCCTATGGTATACTGCCATACAAATTTCTGTGGTTGCCATAGGCCAATGGTGACGTGCCATACAAATCCTTATGGTTACCATTAGTCTATGGTATACTGCCATACAAATCTTTATGGTAGCCATAGGCTTTTGGGGTTTTGCCATACAAATCTCTATGGTAACCATAGGCGTATGGTATCTTGCCATATAAATTTCTATGGTAGCCATAGGCTTATGGGGTTGTGCCATACAAATCTCTATGGTAGCCATAGGCTTATGGTGTTGTGCCATACAAATCTCTATGGTAACCATAGGCGTATGGTATCTTGCCATATAAATTTCTATGGTAGCCGTAGGCTTATGGGGTTGTGCCATACAAATCTCTATGGTAGCCATAGGCGTATGGTATCTTGCCATACAAATTTCTATGGTAGCCATAGGTTGCCATAGATTACCATAGGCTTCTCTATGGCAAATTTTCCTAAGGGATATGTCATGATAAACCATCTAAAAAAAAATCCGTCTAATATTTGCAAATTAAGTTTGTAGTTATTTACCGTGGCCAGATGGGCAAGTCATGTGAAATTAGCTTGGCGTTCAACGTGTTAATCAAAACTCTATATGAGATAAAAGGGATTTCCAATGATTCATGTAAATCAATAAAAATTAATCGGGGCAAAATAATTCAGTTTTCCTTTATTTTAAAATAAAAAAAAATTAAAAGTCCATTTACTAGTTATTTTTTCATTCCTTTTTTTTAAAATATTTCTCGAATAAGCATTTTTGCTTTAAAACAACAGATAGCATTTTAAAATTTGTTTCGCCAAATTTTGCAGTTTTTTGAAAGAATAGTTGTTTAAGATTAAGAACAATTAGCAAAAATAGAAAACATAAGTTAACTTGAGTTAATTCAAAATTTCGCTTTTTTAAAATATCATTTATTGTTTTTATATTTTGAAAATTAAATTTTATTCTTTTGTTCTTTTTAAGTATACATCAACAGCTGAGATTACCCGAAATAAATATTAATTTAATGTGTAAAATTGAGTAGTTTTATTCATATATGAACAGAATTACCATGCTTTTTTCACCTTTTAATTGATACATAATTAAATTTTTTTTAATTACTAGTTGCACATTTAAATTTGTAAACATTTCCGGAAAAGCGAATTAAAAATATTAGTCAGATAGGACGATTATACCTGCAAACTTTTCCAGATTTACTAAAAGATTCAATATTTAACCCTTTTTCATCGACTGTCACAAATACGTGCCAGCATAAAACCGTATCAATCAGGGTAAAATGATAAAACTGGTAATTAAAGTATTTCTTTAGCAGTTTATTTGTGGGCAGGGTTTTAATTGTTTTATTTATTTAATTCACCATTACTTTGTTCAAAATAAAACTTTTTGGTTATACTTTGAATTAACATTGATTATATATATGATTAAACTAACAATAATTAAAGTAAAAGCAAAGTAAGTCTGTCAAATTAGCAACGACTACATTTAAGTTACCATTTTTTATTTAATTACGTCCTGATCCTGATTTTGTAAGAATGCTTTTCTGAATCACCCGTCCCCAAGGGGTTAATGTGGTTGCAAAATGTTTGCATTTATGGTTCTTACCGGATTTAACAAATTTGATTTAACATGTATTTTACGACCATTCGAATTTAATAGTTTAATCATACATGGAGAAGACCTGGTACTTGAAATGCTTTAACACGTTGACAACCGCTTGTGTTTATAGTAAAATCTCCTTCAGACCACGAGTACCGTTGTACGAAGCGTATTCTGCTAAGTACTCCCACCGATATTTTAATAAAGTGAGTCTCTGGTGATCACAAGAATAATATCTAACTCCGTTTGTTTCCATGGTATCATGCCTGTTTATTTGTATTCGTTGCTTCGCATCTGTTTCTCATCCCGCCAATTCACACGATCAGTTTGAATCTTTGTCGAGTAAAGAGGAGTATAACTTAAAATCTTTACAATAATTCCTTGAAATTTCGAAAAGAAAAATAGAAAACTTATTTCTTAGAGAGTCAAATAGCAGTGAACAAGAAAGCTTTAACGAGGCTCACAATAATTTCCTTAATAAATCATTTTCGTATTACTTGTATAACAATTCCAAAGTTTTGTAACTTCTTGTGAAATATCCTTTGCAAGTAGTCAAATAAGCGTCACCCATATACGGGTGACGTGGTCTGATCGGAAACTTTACTGTCACCCGAATATGGGTGACGCGGCAGTCAACATGTTAAGAGAAGACAAAAAATGAATTAAGTATTCGCCTACAATAACGCACCTGCCAACTTTTGCACTCTTCGAAAAGTTTTTCCCTAATGGTGGTGAAATAATTATTGTTGAAACGATTTTGTACATAATTACTAAATTCAATTTTCATCATCACTTAAAACAATAAGATATAAGTCGGTTCTCGTCGACTACTTAACTACTAAATGTCTTAACTACTTAAATGTAATGGAAGTTAAAACTATATTAACCCTTACCCATTCAATGTCGCCTTGGATGCGACATTAAAAGTCAAGACTTTGGAATTTATTTACCACATTATTTTATAATTGTTGGTAATCTATTGTATTATTGCATGGTTAATATTAAATACCAAAGTGATTACGTTAGTTTAAAATGCGTTTTTAAGTAATCAGAGTGCATTGATGCACTTAAGCTCATTGTTTCATAGAATAGTGGTTGCTAAATGTTTAAAAGCAATTAGTGGTTTGTAATACAGATTGAGTTAGTTTTGACAGACGGGCTGCACTTCAACGGAAGGGATGAAATTTTTTAAAAAAAAAAGTATTTCTTAACTTGCTCAAGGAAACATTGTCCACTATAAAAATATGTAAATTATTTAGGTATGGCCGTGGTGGCTCAGGGAATAGAGATTTCGCCTTCTAATGAGGTGAACCGGGTTCGAATCAAAGCGATGGCTGTGATTCGAATTCCGCATCCTGCTCGCACTGATCACAATGCTGATGTAAAATATCTTCAGTGGTAGACATATCATTGGTTTGAGTCACCTTGTCGTCAGGCTAACCGAGAGAGGTTTTCGTGCTTTTCCTCTCTATGTAACTCAAATGCAGGTTAGTTGTATCAACAAATCTTCCACGAAGGCAAATTTTTCCCAATACTTGATCCAAGAGGTCTCTTGTCTTCTGCATTTGGTTCAAATTTACAAGGCTATTGAGTTGTACATTAGTAGTTGTAAATCGGGTGTCTCACTGTTTGTATCACGCTTTATCACCTTTTATCCTGCTGAATTTTAATTGTCTACTCAGTTTTTGCTTTGATGTTGTGATTATTTTAACTCGACTTTGGTACTTTTGGTACTCGACTGTTTTAACTTTGAATTTTAACCAATTTTCTTGTTTTAGCATCACTTTATAGATTTTAATAGTTTTCATTTTGGCCTTTTGGCTTCTCTTATTTTTAACTAATTCTCGAATTGATTTTAACTATTATAGATTTTACAAGCCCTTTTGATTTTAACTTTTTTCTGATTTTACAAGCCCTTTAGTCTTTTGATTTTACAATTTACTTGATTTTATTGTTCTCTTAGATTTATCTATCATAACACCTTTTAACTCTTTTTTTCTCATTTTTAAAATCATATTTTATAGTTCGTTGCCTTATACTGGTGTTTTATCCCCTTGCATGAGTTAATATTTCTATGGTTTATTTACTACGGATTTAATTTTGTATTTGCCGCCAACCCACACTTAGTGGTGAATTATTGTGTAACTTATTTGTTTGTATCATTGCCTATTTGTTGTAATGTGATTGTATCATTGCCTATTATGTTGATGAATCTTTCCTAAATTGTGAATTTAAAAAATTACGCCGTACGCCCTATTAAGACCAGGTCGGTTATTTTATTTTATTTTATTAGTAGTCGTAAACAAAATAAAAGTCGGCTGTTAAACTACGGTTATGAAATAAAATATAAAATTATTTGGATTGAAAACAACGTGATACATCCTTAAATATCGTTTTTTTCTGACAATATAGGGTGGTATTAGAAATTTCGATATTGCTCAACACACGCAGCAACTACCCACAACCCGGCTCCCAGATATTAGGAAAAAATCGAACTTGGTCAAAACAATAAAGAAAAAAGTACCTTTAATGTAACTGATTCTGTTATCTAATAATAACGATTATAATAGTAATTCAATTAACATATTTGAATTCACCCCTATGAACCACTATGAACTAAATACCACATATTGTATTTAGTTCGTGAAAAATCAGATTAGTAGAATAAAAGTTTTTCAGTGTGGCGTTTTAGATATGAGACAGAGTAATGTGAGTAAAACTTTGATTAAAATGTTTTTTCCTTCTTTTTGAATATTTACTTACTCTGAGAGCTTTAGCGAGTAACTGTAAATATCTTGGTGTTAATGCACGTGTATTATGCTTCAGAGAGGTGTTTTTGGCATCAATTATAAGTTGAATACCACACACTTGAGTAGCTGGATCTTCGATGCATTGTAGCAATAAAAATGTCGACGCTGATATGAATATTGGCATTGAAAATTGATCTGGATCCCACTTACCTATGTGAGAAAAATTACGAGTTTTATTAACTGTAAGTTAAAGATATAGGGTTCATAACGCGAAGTTGTTGTTGTAAATTAGTTAGTTAGCGCCAAAAGAAATTAGTTGTTAGCAACGGTAATTTATGCTGTTTGACTAATACTAGCAAGTCTGTTTGAGAAGTCAAGCGAATCTTTAAGATAGGGAGCTCGTTTTTCGTTTTTACGTGGTACGATCTATGGTCAAGAATACGATTTCAGCTACACACAACAGTCACAGCCCTTTTTACAGGGCGGACCTATTCATGCATCCATTTATTCATCAACAGATCATAATTTTGACCTGAACCAGAAAACAATCAATCCCCAATTGAGTACCAAAGAGGTATTGATATGTTATATGAACTCGGAGGACTTTGTGAGCACGACAAATTTAACGTGCACCAGTCACCTTTTAATACACATTCGGCATGCGGGATTCTAACTCATGTTCTCACCAAACACGAGATTAACGTCCCATCAAACAGGCAAAAACTTTATAATATTATATTAATTGACGAGCCGCGATGGCTCAGGGGATAGAGCGTTCTCCTTCCAATGAGGCAAACCGGGTTCGAATCCCAGTCGATACGAATTCCACATCAGGCTTGCACCGACCACAGTGCTGACATGAAGTATCCTCAGTGGGAGAAGGATCATGGGTTAGAGTACCCTTGCCGTCAGGCTAACCGTGGGAGGTTCTCGTGGTTTTCCTTTCAATGTAACGCAAATGCGGGTTAGCTCCATCAAAAAAACCTCCACGCAGGCAAATTTCTCCCAATACTCGATCCAGGAGTTCCCTTGTATTCTGGATTGGGTTCAGAATTACGTGGCTACGGAAATGAACATTAGTAGTCGTAAACCCATAAAATTGGGTTGGCTGTTCACCGACGGTTATAAAATAAAATAAAATATATTAATTGCAACATATTTTAAAATTGGAAGCGTCATCATCACCAATGTTCAGGGTGCTCCTTATGAACCTACAGTGGTCACTTTTTGACTAGACACGACTATCTCCAAGCTATTGAAAAATGGAAACCTAAATTGAAAGTGGTAAAACGTGGTGGTAAGTATACTTACCACGGCCTTCAAAAGGGTTAACAAGTAGAATGATAAATACTTTTAATTACTTTATTTTCTCATTTAAAATAAAAAATATTTAAAATTTTGTTGAATGTCAAGAGAAAACAGATATTCGTATTTCTACTCTAAAAAAATTATCTAAAACATAAATTTAGTATTTTGACGCCTGCCAAAAAACGCAACCTAGCGAACTTGGGTTTTAACAAACATATTTGCTATTGTTTTAACCCCATCTGGAACAGCAAACTTTGATTAAAAATTTTAGATAAACAAATGGAAGAGAAAACTTATCGGAAGACTGCACATTTAAGTTTCTTAGTTCTCAACCGTTCTCTTAAAACAGTTCGTTGAACCCGGAGCAGTTGGCATCACTGTAATTTAGCTCTTAGTAGTTTAAAGATTACTGGTTACCAAACGTTTAAAAACAATAAGTTTTACATTTATAGTGGTTCCTAAAATTCGTCTAAGTGTTGTTACCAGACTGGTAACATTTAATCCTAACACATTACGGACCACTAGAAATCTAAAACTGCTTGCTTCTGAATGTTCTCAAAAGCTTAGCTACCCGGATGTTATAGGCGATTGAAAATGCAAGATTTGGTGACTAATAAAATGCAAAACTTTTTTCAAAAGAAAAAAAAAATGTAACTTCTTCGATAATATTTTTTTTAAGTTTATTGAAAGTAAGTGCAAAGAGTGCTTTGTTTTAAATATAATTAATTAAAATTTTTAGTCATAGATGGTGTTACTCTTGAACAATTAAAGGTATTATAGAATAAAAGTGAATTGAATTTCTACCACATGAAACATTTTTAGTCGCCGGTGGCTTCCATGTAGCTACCATTCTATTGAAGCAGAGATGCCAACTTGCTCCGGACAGCAAATATATATTTTAAAGTGGAAGTTTATCAATTGTGATTATTGGTTTAGTAAATTCTATTTAGTAGATTTTTATCCACCACTATTTCTATATGATTCGTAGGCTTATATAATTCGCCACTTTATAGTTCTTATGATATGCTATACCTTTTAAAAAGCAAGCAAAAATAGTCAAATATTTGCAAATTTTAATTTGCAGTTATTTAAATTTTTTAAAATTATTTTGGCGTGTCCGGACATCACCTCCTACACCAAAAAGCCTCCACAAGGTCTTTTATAAGTAGTCCGCGCAGACTGCTTAAAAAGTGAACCAGTTGTGCGCATGAACCCAAAACCTTTTATAAAAGTAATTGAGAGAAATTTATCATATATATTTGAGAATTGAATCTGTAGTGGTTGTCAAGTGAATAAGGCAGACCAATAATATTCATAAATAAAACAAATTTTCAGTCATATATTTGCTACCACTTTCTTATTTTAACTAAATTTTGTATTAATGGACTCGTTCGGAAAGTGGATATCCTCTACAGTGGTCTGATTGGACTACCTATAAAAAATCATGTAGGGGCTTTCAGTTATAGGAGGCGTTGGTCCGGAGCAGTTGGCATCTCTGTTGAAGCAACAAAGAGATAAAATATGCCTCTACACGGTTTCTTATAGGAAGTCCGATCAGACCACTATGAAAATACCAGCTTGTGCGAAAGAGCCTTACAATACAAAATCTAATAAATATCAGAAAGTGATCGAAAATATATATCTAAAAATTTGTTTCATTCATGAATATAATTGGTTTGTCTTATTTACTTGTCAACCATCACAGATTCAATTCTCAAATATGTATGATAAATTTCTCTCAGTCACTTTTAAAATAGAATCTGGGCTCTTGTGCATAACTGGTTCACTTTTTTAAATAGTCTGCGTGGATTACTTATAAAAAACCGCGTGAAAGCTTTCTGATGTAGGAGGTGAAGAGAAAGGTTGCATTAGCTGTTACGAATAGGGGTGAATATCACGTTTACTTTTGTAGAAGAAAAAACATTTTCGTTTATTAAATTTATCACTTAATAAATTAGATACATTATAATTGGGTCGAAAACATACCCTCTTACTACTATACTTTGCCTACAACTGAAAAAAACAACGCTTCTCGATATTTTTCGAGGAAAGAGTCGTGACTATTCTTTTCTTTCTATTCATAATAACGAATGCTGCTAAGAGTGTAAGGAAACTGATAAAACAACGCTTACTTTTTAAAAAAGGAACATTAAATTTTGCTGCATTCATACAAAATTCTAAATACATAAAAATTTCAGTTTTGAATTTCTTGTCGCTGGTGATTAATGAATCTTCGACAAAATAATAAGATAATAAAAGATTTGTCTATAATTGATTTTTAACTCTATAATTTACTACCCCTTCGGAAAATTATTTTTGGAATGACCAAAAGTTGGCGAGTGTGCAAAGTACAACACTTTTTTTACGCTTACGTGGTAGGTAAATTTCTCCCAATACTTGATCCAGGAGTTCCCTCTTCTTCTGGATTGGCGTCAAAACTACAAAGCTATGGAGCTAAACATTAGTTGACGTAAACTCAAAAATTGGGTCAGCTGTTCAACGGTGGTTATAAAATGAAATATTTGACTGTTGCTTTTGTTATAAAGAATATAATAAACAGAGACATGCAAGCAATCTATAGGTTAATTATTTTAATCCATATTAGCAATCTATAGGTTAATATAGCAAATTTTTATGGTACATTTAAAAATGTTTTTAAAAATTTAATTTTTTTACTGTTCTTTTGAGCACATATATAAATTAATCATTATTGGTTCTCATCAGCTATAAAAAGATTCAAAATTTATATTACAGTACAACATTTTAAGTTCTGTTGTAAATTTCGTTAAAAATATGAAGAAGAAAGATCAAAAACTAAAGGTACTCTGCTGTCAATGTTATTTGGCTACCTAATTTTATAGTTATTTATGGGTTATCAGCAACTAACTGTTTAAACAGTAACTATGGTCTCTATCACTGGAGACTGATAGTAATTAGAATCTAATTCTAATTGCACTCTAATAGCGATTGCAGTCAGATAATAACTTAAGGTGAATTAGTAACTATAGACTGCAGTGTTTATCATTTGTGTACCACGTGATGTCCTTGTATTCGGTATATTAGACTTTAAAATTATTGTAGTACTTGTAGTCTAGGAACAATTGCACTCTAATAGCAATTGTAGTCTAGTAACAATTGCACTGTAATAGCATGTAATTTTGGATATAATTTTATCATTTGGGTACCACGTGATATCCTTGTCTTCCGTATAACAGAAACTGATACAGCAATTATTGTAGTTATTGCAGTCCAGTAGCAATTGTACTCAAATAACAATAACAGTCAAATCATTTTAGTTGAATTTGTACCACAGACTGCAATGTCTGGTTGCAGTTTCACCATTTGTGTACTAAGTAATATTCTTGACTTCGTGACATTAGCAACTGACTTAGCAATTATTGTAGCGATCGCAGTCTAGTAGCAATTGCAATCTAATAGCAATTGCTCACAAATAATAGATTTTGTTGAATCAGTAACTATATACTTAGTGCACGGAAGAGATTTTATCAGTTAGGTACCAAGTAATATCTTTATCTTCGGGATATCCACAACTAACTTTCACCCTTTGCACTCCGAGTACTTTTAAATGCTGTTAGAGTTAATATCAGCACTATACGATTTAAAATACACAATATACTATCGTTATACGATTTTATAATTCTTAAAATAATGTGGTTACTAATTATTACGGTATAAAATTTCTTAAGTAAGTGGTGACTGCTGATGGTGCCTTCGTGGGGACATCCGAGTGCAAAGTGCTAATTTCAGGAATTGTAGTAAACATTTTCATTGCAGTTTGGTACCAATTGCATTCTAAAAACAATTGCAGTTAAACAATAACTTCAGTGGAACTAGAAGTTATAGACTTTAGTATCCGATGGTAATAATAATTTAACTAAGTGAAGTGATATATTTTTTATCAAAATATAAGCAACTGTCATGACTTTAATTGTAATTTTAAGCAGTCCAATAGCATCCAAAAATATTTCCGTCTAATAGCGATTGCAGTTTAATAGTGATTGTAATCAAATAACAACTATACATAATTACGACTGCTATCTAGTGACAATTGCTGTATAAATTAAAATTATTAACAAAATGTTTGATATTTCAACTTTTGTTACTAATATCGATTTTAAATGCTAACATATTTACACACTTGCATTTGATGCTTTTTCATAGATGTAATTCAAAAATTAATATTATTCTGTAAAAACAATTCTAAGCATAATCTAAAATTTGAAATTGGTTGATTTTTTGCAGGTTTACATAAAAAAAAAGATGTAGTTGCTGCTAACTTGAAAATGTTAAACTCTACAATATAACTCTTTAAATCTACCTTCTGAATTAACGCTAAAAATATATTAATTGTTTAGTAGTGATGCTGGGAAGATTTGTAATCTGAAAACAAATTTCAAGTATCGTTCTAAAAAAGTTAGTTCCAGTAATGTTAATGCCATCTTCTTTTAAAATTAGAAGAAAAAAAACTGGACGGTGAATATTAACCTGTCAGCTCCTAACGTAAGTTTTATAGGGCTGTTTCATTTTTAAAAAATATATACTGCGGTAGAACAATTGTTTCAGTTCTATAATTTGTCTAGGGGAATTGAATTATTTTCACGCACCTTATTTTTTTAATAATTTTGGTATCTGCGACTAGATCTAGAACTATCAGGAAGTGGGCCTTTTTGAAATGAAATGGGGGCTAACAGAAGAAGATACACATTCAGTTAAATATAATATACTTTACCACTTTTTTCATAAAGCCACTTTTTGTATCACTTCAACTTCACTAAAACGAAATAACAGCAGAGATGCCAACTTACTCCTGATTGTGAATGAATAGTTTATTGAGATAGCAAACTTTTATATATAATTCTTGATTTAGTGAATGTGATTTAAAAGATTTTCTTCCATCACTAATTCTAAATAATTATAAAACTTATATTAACCATTTACACTCGAATGGTGACTGTCAGTCACCACTGTCGCCTGTAAATTACCCACCACTCTGATTACGAAATTTTTTTCACCTTAATGTATAGTTACCACTTTATCCTGTGATCTCCGGGTATCATTAAGTAAGTTTGTGAAAAGTCTTTCAAAATGTTAGTGGTTGCGTCCATTTTTTTGACTGTTAAAAGGACTTCGAGTGCAAAGGGTTAAATGCCACTTCGACAGCTGCCAACTTGTACGGTTGTTCAAAAAGATTTTAGAGAGCGGTGGTGTAGACATATAATAATTATTGCATGGTTCTTCTAAAATAGCTGTTTTGCAAACGCTTATTGTTTTTTGCCTTCATCATCATCATCAAAATATATCTGGGCACTTGAGGCCGTTAGCGGCCTTTTTCCCGTTCGTCTCGTATTGTGGTCTTTAAGGTGGTTCTTTCTGGTAATTGTTTTTTTGCTCAACTAATTTATCTTATATTTATATGTTTGAATTATTGATTAGTCGTGGTAGGTAAAACAATTAAATTTTTAAAATTACAGCGATACCAACTGCTCCGGACACGACAAAATAATTAAAAAAACGGTAAATAACTACAGAGTAAATTTTGCAAATATTTGACTATTTTTGCTTGCTTATTAACCGGTTAACGCCCAGCGTCGTATATTTAGAACAGTTCCTTTTTTCGAAAACATTCATTGTGGTGGGAAACTTCTTTCAGCATTTTCATTTATCTGGGCGAATTAAGAGATTCTCAGATACCACAATAATTTAGTTATTTCTGATTAGATCTAGAATTATAAGGAGCAAGTACTTTTTGATCTATCAAAGACTTTTTCATTGCCCTAACAGTAGAAAAAACAATTAATTTCGAAAATATATTATACCGTTTTTTCCGTAAAATCACTTTTTGTATCATTTCAACATATAAATTCGGGACAAAACGGGTTAAGAGGCATGCCATGTCGTAATTATTATATGGTGGGGAATTATATAAGCCTACAAATTATTTAGAAATAGTGGTGGATAAAAATCGACTAAATTGAATTTATTAAACCAAGAATCACAATAGATAAACTACCACTTTAAAATATACATTTGCTGTCCGGAGCAAGTTGGCATCTCTGAAATTATGATTTTTAAGCTGAAATATAACCATCACTACCACTAAGAAAAATATTTCTCGATGGACGTACACAGGGATGGCAACTGCTCCGCTTTCTGGAATAGTTTTAATAAAGTGGTAGAAAATTATATTGTAGAATTCGTTAGAGATGGATAGTTTCGCCTACTTTTTAGTTGAGTAACCAGTAGATTAATGCGGAAACGTTGCATTTTATATGATATTTATAATTTTTTATATTTAGTGGTGAAAAAATTACTTAAAATGAAAAATACTAAACTAAAAGTAATTTAAATTTCGCTACCACTAGAAAATACTATTTTACAGAGTGGAGCAAGGAGGTATGGTGAACTGTCATGACACTTTGAGACAAAAGAGAGGAGGGGTCAAAAATATTTGAAAAATGTTACGTCATTTATAAATGAACTTTTCAAAGTGGGGAGAATGTTTTATTCATTTATCTAACACATAATCACTAGTAAATTGAGGGGTAAGGTCTCTGTGTGATTTTTTTATTTAAAAAAATATTTTATTTATTTATTTCTTTTTTAATATTTTGCTGCTTTAAAGCATATTTGACGCCTTAAACTTATTTACTGAAGTGTACTATAAACAAAATGTACTGTAAATACTATACTATATTTTTTCTTATATTTCCTGCTTTTCGTTTATAAATTCCAATTTGACGCAGTTTCTCGGACAGGGCACGAAAAAAGAGAACATTTTGATCTAGTCTGATGATTTTCCAGACGCGGAAATTTTGTTTTAAAGAATCAGGGGACTGAAATTATAGTTAGGCAAATAATTTCAAATAGTGATATATCATACTTTACTTTCTATAAATTAACATTGTCTTTTCATTTCCTTTCTTTTTGGTGGATTCGGAATTTCACCCCTTAAAATATCTCCTTACTCTAGGGCTACAACTAGATTTGGTTCTGTACCATATTGTAAAGCAAATCGGAAACGAAAACGTGCTTTCTCAAAATAAAATTTACCTTTTTTCTTGTGGCTGATTTTGGAGTTTTAACCCTTAAAATATCTCTATATTTTCGACTCTAATAAAATGTCTTCACACTATAAAGTAGTCACTAAAGCTGAGCCTGTATCATAATTGTAGAGCAAACCATAACGTAATTAGTAGCAAAAACATACTTTCACTAAATGAGCATCATCTCCTTTTCTTGGCGGATTTAGAATTTTAACCTTTAAAATATTACAATATTTTCCCCTTAAATTATCGCCATTCTCTAGGATAAACGATAGAGTAAGATCTGTTCCATATTTGAACAGCAAATTATTACGGTATTGTTGAGCATTTATTACATCAGAAGCGAAAACTTGCTTTCACTGAATATCTAAATAAATATACCTGTTTTCCAGCTCATTTTGATTTTTAAATCTGAAAATATGAAGGGTAACTGTAATTTGAAAAATATTTTCCTAATAGATAAGTCAGGAGAACAGTTGATAATTTTGGCCTCTTCATATTAAATTCTCGATCTACATATTTCTCTATGCGTCTGGAATTTTTGTTAGCAAATAAAAAATTATCTTCATAAATCTCGTTCTGTCAAAAATATCATTAATTCCATTCAAAAATTAAATTTTAATTCTTCTTCTTCTTCAGCACGACAGCCCCTTACAGGCCTTGGATGCCTCAACCACGCGTAGCCACCAACGCCTCCTATCCATGGCGACTTTTTTCCAGTTGTTAATCTTTATTACTTTGAGATGTTTAGTAGTGTCATCCAGCCATCTAGTTGGAGGTCTTCCTCTGGCCCGAGATGCAGAAAGATTTTTAAAGGTGGCGATTCGTTCTGCATTGTCTTCTGGACCTCTCCAGATATGTCCAAGCCATCTTAATCTATTGCTTCGGATGACCTGCACTATCTGTGTCTGTCCATAGAGTCTATATAATTCAAAGTTGTATCTGATTCGCCAACAGCCTCTTTCCTGTACTGGGCCAAAAATATTTCTAAGGATTTTCCTTTCAAAAACACCAAGAGTACGCTGAGTGTCTGCATTTAGTGTCCATGTTTCGCTTGCATAGAGCAATACAGGTAGAATAAGAGTCTTATAAATTTTAATTTCGGTTTTTCGACTGATTAGGCTTGATCTTAATTGCTTTATTAGTCCAAAGAAACACTTGTTTGCCATTTTAATTCGGTTGTCTACTTCTGGTTTTATGAAAATTATTAAGTTTAAATTTTTTAAATTTTAATTATTAAGTATTATTTTTACTTGTTTAGCTTTGCAATGTTTGAAACAAATTTGAATTTTAAGGTATAGAAATTTTTACATATTTTATAAGTACCTAATTAAATGAAATAAACCGAATCAAGCATTAGGAATTTCAAAAACTGTGCAGTTGTTATTTCTCTAGAAATATTTAAGCATGAGATTTCTAGAAATACTTACCCCCTTTTAAATGACAAAAATAGAAACTCTTACGAAATCAGCCAAATAGTTTCTGAGTTAAAAAAATTTAAAAAATGCATTTCTTAAAATTTTTAATTCCTCCGAACTATTTAACCAATTTTATTTAAATGTTCCATGTCATTTTTTCCTATCAATAGTTTCAAAAATAGACGGAACACATCTCAAAAAAGATATTAGTTTATAATAATATTACCAGCATAATCTATAAGTTTTTTTTCAAGGGGAGCATTTTACCGGCTATGAGACTCCTGAGTTCTGAAATGGCCTGACTACGAGTTTCTTCTGTTTCATCCAATTCTTCTTCGGCTAATTTTACCATACAGTCAGTCAGGTATCCCACTTTGTAAGGTAGAAATCCTTTCCGCTTCTCCTGGAAATCATAATCGCTTTCCATTTTTGACAGATATAGTTTTCAATCGTCTGGAACGAAGAAAAAATAAATCAAGGTTTAGTTACAAAGATATCTAAAAAATAATATGTTCTAAAAATCTGCTAATTTAATTTTAACTTGTTTGCCCTAAGTGATTGCATCAAAAGTAAAAATTAACACGTTCACTCCGAGGTGACCCACCGGTGGGTCACGCTAGATTGTCCCATCTTGGCAGTGAACCGGAGTAAAAACTGGTAACAATAAATTTCATTTTTTAGTTTTTATCCGGGAATAATAAAAATCCATAACTACCAATTGTTTTTAACGGATGCAATTTTTATATTGAATTGCCTTTTCCTTCAGATGAATGAGCTAAAGCCGCAGCCTGCGTCTGGTACTCAGGTCCAAACGTTATATAGGTTGCAGTGAATTGTTATTCTTGAGAATAGATTAACTCCTCCCGAATATTATCTAATATTGAAATATTTCCTCTACCAGTATTTTCTCTTTTCCCGGCGTGAACGTGTTAAAGGACTCCCGCAATAGCCCATTGTGGGTCAGGGATGGTCATGAAGGTAAAGATTCCTCGATTTCATGCATTGTTATTGGAATCAGAATAAAGAAAACAACTAGATCTTAATAAAATTATCCAAAATATTTAAATATAGTTAAAAATTTTTATGTCCCTTAATGAACTTCATTTTTGTTTTATAAAAACAGTATTGATGAATTTATGTTATGGTTTCCTGGTGTTTTCTTTTCTTATGACTATTATCTTGGAGAACCAGGACTAGAATCTTAACAGGTACTTATTAAGTAAAGCTTGTAATATTTATGATGGACCTTGAATAATAGATTAATGAATAATAATATTGAATCAATAATTACACATATTTAGTTGAGACAATATGCATTTATTATTATGCAAAATATTTCAGACATCGACATATCGAAAAATAATAAAATAAAAAATAAAAAAATTGCTCATTGGAAAATGGCGGGTCTCCTTGCCAGCAGGAACCAGAAATGAATTTCCCTGTAAGGTGTGTGATTACCTCGGACACTTATGCACATGTTACCTCTGTTATTTATATTGTCCACTAAACTACCGAAGAGTCCTTGTAGGATATCCGCTCTGAAGGCGATTTTCAGCTCTTGCACTGTTTGAAAAGGGCGTGTTCTTTCTGTAACACATCTGCCAAGAGCAACCTAGGCATACTCTATAGTATTTAGGTCCAAGGAGTTCACAGGCTTTTGCGTACGGTCAATATCTTTGCTTTCTTATGTGTAAGATACCCCAGTGTACCTGTGCGACCACGCATATTCATCCGTAAACAGAAAATCTGGGCATACCACACCCCTAAAAAGACAAACATGATCCAGAATAATATATCTGCAATACCGCTGCGATGTAACATTACCTCGCTCAAAGATGTGAAGCAGTATTCAGCCATTGAGCTTGATGTCTGCCCATATCTGTACGTTTGGGCCACACCGATCACGTTCATGAACCTATTGTTGTGTTCCTCTCTCCCTTCTCCACACTAACTGGTAGCCAGAATCACTTTTCATAGTGAATCAGGACATCACTATGAGCCTTTGCTGGTTACCCCAACCAATACGTTTCCTACACCAACGTAATCTTTCTCGACGATGGCGTGGTTAAAGCAGGATGCATAAAACAGGCTTCCGTGAATGCATTATGACCGTGGGATGGTTCTGGGAGAATTATGTGTACGGTACGGTACGGTCTGCAGCTATCTGCTAGGAGTGAAATTTTTATTCCTTTCAGCTACTGGGGATATATAGTTACCCATGAGTCGTGGTGCTTCTACAACGACCACCGGCAAGCTCTCGCATGGTATCTCTTTTATCAGCGGTGTTTTTTAATCGCAAGATGACATTTTTTTACCCCTTCGATACTGTTATTTTGACCTACTTCCAGTCATCTAACTGCTCGTCCACGATCGTCAGAACTCAAACGATGTCATGCTAACATTTTGCACTTAAATATTGCAACACTACACTGAAATAAGTCCAGCAATCTATGGTGCTTTTTTGATCAAATACCTAACATCATAAATTTTCGAATGACTGAACATATTGTGTACACTGCCTTTGATACGGATAACGGGTATTGCTCTGCCCCGATCCTCTGCACTTGATTTTATTGCTATTGATCGGCTGTAAAGAAAGCTACTTTGCATAAATCAGTTGCTCATTATCAATTGTTAAGCGGTGTATTATATTTCAATACATTATACATACATAAATCAAGTTTAAAAAGAATTCTTAGTTTCACATATTTCTGTTTAAAAATAATCTGTAATGGTGGTCCCAAATATATTAAGACATCGTTGGTGACCCTGGAAAATTTTCAAATTGTGGTCCGTATTCGCGTACCTTAATGTCATAAAAAGTTTAGATCCACATACTAAATTGAATTTTTTTCTGTTTCAGCAAAATATTAAATCAATTAACAATTAAGCTATTATTTTTGAAACTGGAAGAAACCTATTTGAAGTTAAAATCGTTTTTTTTCCTTATAATTATTTAATTTTAAAGTTTATAATCAAATTATGGTGCTAAACGCAAACATTCAAATTGTTTAACACTTGCCAATATTTTTAAATTTATTCAAACGCTAACACTTAAGTATCTCGATATAGGAAATCATTCGAATGAATAGAATTACTTAATATGTTTAAACTTATTTTGCTTATCTACATCTTCAGACTAACAAAAAAGTTTGCATATCGATAAGGGTTGAGTGTCGTAGTCAGTTACGTAATTTTCTTCGATAACCTTGAAAAGTGAAATCTATAGAGATTATAAACAATTCAGGTCAGCAGTAGACAAGCATATTTTTGTTTGTGGTTTTCCTTCTAACAACGAAGTGCCTTTTTTCCAAAAGTATATTAAAGTATCACTTTGCACTTCTGCTACATTATCTCGACATAAACAAGATTTTTGAACCTTGCAAAAATTGATACCACAAAAAAAGATGACACGAAATATTTAGAAATTATGTATAAGAAAAATATTTTATCCAAGATCTAGCTGAACACTTGTTTTTCGTGAGAGATTATAAAAAAATATGAAAAGCACTGGGGGAATAAATTTTTTGTTGCATTTATATAAATACTTGATCTTGCCGAGTTAGCGGAAATTTCATTTTGAAATTACTTTTGTTCCTAAAATTACACATATTTTTTAAATGAAATTTTTAGTTTGTTTTTTGTCAAAGTGTACGAGCATAAGATAAAACAGGAGATCGCATAAGTGCTGCGACAAACAGCTAGGGAAGTTAGCTTATGCCTATGTAAATTGATATCTTATTAGTATCAGCCCCGTTAGGGGCTCTAACTGATATGTCTCAGTAGGGAAGTTAAGTAAAAGCACATCATCAGGGTTAAAACTCAATAGGAACCCATTCCTGATCCAAATAGCCAAAACTTTCATAATACATATCTTTATTTTAATTAGATGTTATGTAAAAGTGATATTTTTAAACTAAAATGGTTGAAAAAGAAATTAAAGCACTCTCATAGCAGCTAGATGTTAGGAAAGAAGTCAAGGTGGTTAAGATTAGCATTGCGCATCGGTCTCCTTTACATTAAAAAATACCACTTGATATATTGATATTAACACTTACACCAAACCTGCGTGATATAAATGAGAAGCAATTTTAAATGTTAACAATACAACCTTATATCATACAACAGTTTGCTTTTGAGCCAGTTTTAACATGTTGAATGCCACGCTAATTTTACATGGCTTGCCCGTCTGGCCACAACGGTAAATGACTACAATCTTAATTTGCAAATATCGGACAGATTTTGCCAGTTTTTTTAAAAGGTTTAGCATAACATATTTGAGAAAAGTAGTGAATTATATAAGCTAATTGATAAATTGAATAAATTGATAATAAATTGAATTAAATAATAAATAAATTGAATAATAAATTGAATTAAATAATAAATAAATTGAATAATAAATTGAATTGAATAATAAATTGAATTAAATAATAAATAAATTGAATAATAAATTGAATTGAATAATAAATTGAATTAAATAATAAATAAATTGAATAATAAATTGAATTTATTGAACCAAGAATCACAATTAATAAACTACCATTTGAAAATATTTATTCGCTGTTCGGAGCAAGTTGGCATCTCTGTGTATATAAATAAAACTACTTTTGTGTCTTCTATATTGCATTAATTTCTTCAAACCATTTTAGTAACGATAATAATATAAAAAAATTAAAAATTTACTCGAAGAATATGTGTCTAATAATCTTGGCTTCGCCGGTCCCCGGTGACCCCCGAGGCGCCACGAACAAGCTCAGTGCCAGTCACCGGTGACCCCCATGGCATTCAAAGTGTTAATCTCTCTGAAGTATTTATATTTTTATAAATGATAAGATTTTTATCAGGTAAAATCTAACCTCTCTTGAATTTTTTATTAATTCCCTTTTTGTTACTTTTCATTTCAAGTCAAACATGAGCTTAGAAAATTAAAATTGCTAGGGAGATAAATGTTTTGTCAACAATGGATAAATAATTATTATGTAAGGCAAAAAAATCGAAAAAATATACTTAAAATTGCAATAAACTTTGAGCAAATAAGAAGTTTTAAAAAACGAACTTTCCTTAAAGTTATAATTTAATATGGTCCTAGCAGCACATCGAATTTCAACAGTGCATTTGCATTTCAGCGATCGACCTACAGTAGATGAATGTTTTTTTTTCTTATTACAAGTTTAAAAGTTAATGTTTCTCGAACTAATGAGGGATTCTATTCTTTTTTATTCCAATGAACTCCTAGCACATTTATCTACACACCTCCGCAACTTCAAGTTTCTAAATTTTATAGATTTTGAACATAAAAGCAAAAAATGTAACGTAAAGCAAAAAGTATTTGGAAAAAATTCGGAAAAAAATAAATAAAATTACAATAAATTTCGAACAAATTAGAATTTAAAAAAACAAAGCAAAACAAAAAAGAAAACTCTATGGTAACTTTATAAGAAAATAGGAACCTTTCAACATGCAAAATTTAAACTCTGTAGTCGTCTATCTGGAGTCTGTTAAGCAGCCCGCATGGTATTTTTTCCATTAAGTTTAACAGCTCGAACTAATTATCGATTGTTCATTTTTGTTCCATAAATATTCTTTATCACTTTTCTATACACATCATCCTAAGACCTGTTTTGCTACAGTTCCTTTTGCAGAGCCCTGGGATGGTTTTTCAGCAGGACAATGACAGACCACATACGGCACGTGTTGCTATGAACTGTCTGCAAGTTTGTCAAACTCTTCCTTGGCCTGCCAGATCACCAGATCTCTCTCCCATCGAGCTTGTCTGGGATAGGATGGGAAGGCGATTGCATCTGGTCCGGAATGTTGATGACCTCGTTCGACAATTGGATCGAATTTGGCAGGAAATACCGCAAGAGACTATCCGGGAGCTTTATCGATATATGCCACGCCGTGTGGCAGCTTGTATCCAGGCTAGAGGCGGGTCAACACCTTATTGAACTTGTTACTGTAAGTCTGCAATAAAATATTCAATTGTTCTGAAATTTTAATCATTTACTATTCTGTACATTGTCTTCCTATCCACCAATTTTCATTTCAATCGGACAACTCTTTCTTGGTACGTCGATTTTTTTTTAAAGAGTGTATTTTGTAAAATTTCTGCACATCCTTTATAGAAAATCGTAGTTTTTATATATTTTAGGTACAAAAATGTTCTTTGAAATTTTATTTAAAAAAATCTAATTAACACGTAGTGTATTTATTTTACTGTAAGGAGTTTAGGTCAGGCCCTAGTCCCAGGCTCCAGGACCATTGTTTCTCTCTCTCCCCTCCTTGAGCACGGTCTTGACTACATCACATGTAAATAAATTCCACGGATAATTTTCTTAAATTGTCATTTAAAATAGAAAAGTATGCTACTTGTGTGTGCGTTTTTAAGAGTTTAATCAAATTGCTCAAAATCGAGAAAACTCACAAGGGTTGTAGAAAATTATGGAAATACCTCTGTACTGTCGCTAAGTCTCTATATGAGCAATCTTTATTTTAGCAAAAAATGTTTTAGAGAATTATAACAATGCTTTATAATGTTTGTTTTAGAGAATTATTATATATGGCATAATTTTCAAGTTCATTCATGAAGTTTTAAAATTTGGACGGATTTTACTTTTACGAAGTTCACCACTAAAATTAACAAGTTTTCTTTTAAAAATATTTCCAATTTACTGGTATTGGAAATAAGGAGTAAATAAAATTGTCAGCTCTTTGTATAAGCTCTAAAAAATTGTAGAATAAGAATTAGTATACGTTCTCATATAAAGTGCATGGCTGAAAGCCCGTATATAGCAAGACGGAAAAGATGAAAAACTGACACGAAAGACATTTTATTATAGCAATTTTTCCGGGAAAAATAAAATATCTGTAACTACCAAGATTTCTTTAAGATTTTAATATATCTATATAAATCTGCTTCCTCTCCAAGATTAAATAGATATTGTTGAATAGTTATTAAAAAAGAATAGGTATACTTCTCCCGAAAACTAGCAATAACTGAAATGGTTTTACTACCAGACTTTTTTCTTCTCCGTCTCGCTTTCACCCCTGATAAAGTGTCACCACTAGAATTACTTGAAATGAAAATACTTAACTAAAAATAACTTAACATTTGCTACCACTAGAAAATATTTTTTTACAAATGAGCTAGTTGGCATCTCTGAAAAGTCCATTAACTTGTTCTCATTTTGGGCGATCCGAATTTCGAATGGGTTTAAATTGCGCCAAGAGAAAAAAAAAACAAGCCAGACCAACAACAATCAAAACATTTGCTGCTAAAAGAAGAATTGCTTAGATTTAATATCGAAGTGTTTCCATAATTTTGTTCAATCACGGTAAATGTTACACTTCATTTCGGAATTTTTATTCTTATTGCTATTTAATCGTTTTTTTAACCTTCTACTGACATAATTTGGAGAATTCCACCCCGCTCAGTGCATTATTCTTTGATTTTGTTTTATATTTTGAGGCACGTAAAAAATTTCTACTAATCGAAAGTCATTATTAAATTAATGGAATACATATAAAATTACGAAAGGGATTCTGAATTTAAACATATAAAATTTATATTTCGAGGCACGTAAAAAATCTGAAAATCAAAAGTCTATTTAAATTAATAGAAAACATATAAAATCACGATTGGGATTCTGAATTTAAACATGCAAATTTATATTTCGAGACACATAAAAAAATTCTACCTATCAAAATTCATTATTAAATTAAATTAAAAGTCATAATTGAAAGTCAATATTTATTATAAAATAATAATTTCAGTCATTATTACATATGAAATCACGATTAGTAATGTGTAATTAAAGATGCAAAATTTATACCTTTTATTAAGAATTGCATTTAAGATATTATTATAAAACTAAGTAATTCATTCAATACTTACTTTGACTGAAAATCGATAAATCTGAAAAGTACTTCACTCAATATCTGTCTGATATTAAAATTGAGTTTGATTTGAAGCAACTTTTAAAAGACTGACTTTGATTTTTTTGCTGATAAGCATACTAAGAAAGTTTAAATATTGATAAAGTAGACTTAAATTATGCACTATTTTGACCGTGAGTGTGCCCAAAGACTTTTAAACTCTTGTGGATAGTATTATGGTGGTTTTTAATAAAATGGGGAAACATTAATTTTTATCGGCATCCCCTAAAAGTTTGGTATAAAACTAATATTTAACAGCTTTAACTCAATAAAATTATATTTTAATCCCACTCTGAATATCAAAATTTGAAAAACAAACTCACACAATTTTTCTTAAGAAAAGCACTTTTTTAATATAAAATCTGAGCGGTCGGTTGTTTAAACACAAATCTGGTCTCATTTTCTATGTAATACTTTTTTCATCTTTTGCAATTAAAACCTACTTGAAAATTGCCTAGACGGAACGATAAATGTGTTTCTTGATGATCCTCCCAATAAAATCAATTTTTTAAAAAGTTTTGAGAAAAATGCGAACCTTTAACCCTTTCGCGCCGACTGTCACAAATACGTGACAGCACGAAACCGTATCAATCAGGGTGAAAAGATAAAACTGGTAATCAAAGTAATTCTTTAGCAGTTTATTTGTGGGCGGAGTTATAATTGTTTGATTTATTTAATTCACCATTACTTTGTTCAGAATAAAACTATTTAGTTATACTTTGAATTAACATTGATTATATATATGATTAGACTAACAGTAATTAAAGTAAAAGCAAAGTAAGTCTGTCAAATTAGTAACTACCACATTTAAGTTACCGTTTTTTATTTAATTACGTCCTGATCCTGATTTTGTACGAATGCTTTTCTGAATCATCCGTCCCCAAGGGGTTAATTACCTATTATAAAATAACTTAATGGTAAAGTAAAATAGTTACTAATAGTTTAATTATTATATCAGTAAAATGTTTGATTACCTCTTTCGTATATGGATTTTTTACATTTCTTTTATCTTTTTTTGTATATTGATCTGATTTTAATAATCCCTTTTTTATTTCAAAATTAATCTTATTCGTTGTTTCCGTATGAAGACAACGTGTTCGTAATAATGATTCCTGTAAATGTAACTTTTTTGAAAAAAGATTTGTTATTTGCATAATATTAGTCTTCTTATCTAGCCAAATTTGCGAACGTCTCCTTTTTGAGCAATATTATAAAGAATAATGGAACATTTTGAATTTACCATTATATGGTGAGACAAAAGAGTAAAAATGGAATTTAATAGTTTCATCTTGATTGCTTAGAGGTTTTTGTGTCGGAATATTAAAAAGAAATCGAAAATAGAAAAAATACAATGTTGCTTTCGTCATCATTTCACATTATATTCATCTACTTTCGACAAGTGAAAGAAGTTAAGAGTTTAGGCACAGGTGGGCAATACTTTAGGATAAACTTAAATAGTTTTTACGATAAAAACTTAAACTACCATCACTTTATAATTTTATTCTTCTATATTAAAAACAAGGACAACAATACTAAGGCTATCCTAAACTTTTTCAACACTGAGAAATTCTTTGTTTTATCTAAAAAAATATCTATTTTTGAATATATATATTCTACATCTTCAGACTAACAAAAAAGTTT